GCTCTTAACTGTCCTATTTATAGCCGAGTAACAAATCGTAATACCAGTTCGATAGCTCACTGCTAGTGCACATGCATAGGTCTATAGAAATATTGCTCCTTCTTCAGGGAACTGTTTCAAATCCACAAGGAAGGATTGTTATTTTGATTTTTAGCGACTCTTCGTTTAATCCATAATTAGGTCCTTTCAATCCTGTATTTAGTAGTAGAAGTCTTTATTAAGAAATCAGTCACAACATACGTTGTTATCGGTCTTATCAAAAAGGTGTAAGAATCGAGTCATATTTCAGTGCAGTGGATGTATCCTACTCTAAGAGACTATGATCTAAGAAAACATATTCCCGTACCCCATGGTAAACTTTTCAAGCTGTTTTGAACTTCAGGTGTCTTTCTAAAAAATAGCCTCGTAGTATGACCACGCGCTAAAATTAGATTTAAGGTGGCTCAAGACAGTTTCCAGCGTTTAGATTTTGCTGGGTCGTTATAACCACTCTTTATCACTTGAGGCTACAATCATGGTATCAAAAAACTGCCCAATCATTGGTGAACACGATGTTATCATTTTTGTGATGCAATGGGTTACCATAGCAACGGTATGAACTGCTAAAAATACCCTCAATTACAGCTTTAGGGGTTTATAGTTCAAAAACGGCACGGTAATTTTTTTATATTATTAAATTTTAATAAGCATGATAAGACACAACTTTTGGAAAAGTTTTAAAAAATATGTACACAGGGTTCGGAGCCACCTTAATTTTTGGAAAATTTAAGGTGGCTCTGAACCCTGTGTATACAATTTTTTTAAACTTTGCCAAAAGTCGCGTCTTATCACGCTTATTAAAATTTGATAATATAAAAAAATTTCACCGTGCCGTTTTTGAACGATACGCCCGTAAAGTTGTAATTAAGGGTGTTTTAGCAGGTCATACTATTGCTATGGTAACCCATTGTGTCACGAAGATGATAACAACGTGTTCACTGATGATTGGGCAGTTTTTTGACACCATGATTGTAGCATCAACTGATAAAGAGTGGTTATAACGACTCATCAAAATCTAACTGCTGGAAACTGTTTTGAGTCACCTTAAAAGATATCATTGGAAGAGGCCCATGTAGGGAGAATGTGTTCTCTTCGATCATAGTCTCTTGCTGAGACTCAGCGACAGCTCATCTTACCTTGTAAGTAGTGAAGTGGCGGTTCTGGATATGATGTCACTAGTTTACCGCAGAAAAACTTGCTTCCAAAGAATTCTGTTTTCATGAAAGTACCATATCTTGGGATGCCTATTTCGTACGGCGAAAACTCGAGCCATTCTGTAAGTAAAAGTCGAAATTTTAAAATGTTTCCCGGTTGGTCTAATGCATAGATTAAAATCATAGAATAAAAATTTTATGACGAATTTTATTTGCTGCATCTTTTCGCTAACTCCCAAGTAAAGTCGGCATCCAGGGAAAGTTCATTTAAAAATGGTTGTTGTAAAAATTTCCACCTTATGTTTTTACTAACCCACGGATATTCTTTAAAGTTACTCGGCAACCTGGTTACCAAGGTCCACTCCTTTCAAGGAAAAGAGGTGCCTGGAACTCTATTTCCTTGTGCCACGTGAGTTTATTTTTAGTTTGCTAATTTTCGCTGTCATTTCAGTTAAAACTTGATATAATAACTATTTTAGCGCGAATAGTGAGTTAATCTTCGTCTTATTTGTATATGTTTTTCATGCACGGACTGGAATATCGTGTACAAATTCCTTTAGATTCCCCTCAGTACT